AATAGATATGGTCCCCTAGAGCTCACAGCACAAGAGAGTGCAACATTCATAGATCCCTCCAACATTGGGCATCATCCAGTGGTGTCAGTACATTAAGGGCAAAGCAAATTCTGCCCCACATCCATATAATAGTGTGACATTCTTACCACCAGATTAATCATCCACAGTTTATCTCTCTCTCCCTCCCCTTCTCTCTTTTTCCCGCTCTCTTTCTCTCTCACACACAGAATAAAGGACAGCAGAATAACCTGGGTAAGGTGACTGAGTACAATCCAAGACCCCAATAAAAGTACAGTTGAGCAATATGTGAGCCCTATGTGAATGTCTGAGCTCTAGGTATATATCAGAAACTCATAGGCTGTGTTACCTCAAAGACAAACTAAAAATTGGATGGTCAAACTCACTGAGTGTTAGGAATTTTGCCTATTGCTTGCTCTATGCCTATGCAAAATCCCAATGAAACAAAATTACAACACGGCAAGTTAAAAAAATATCCAGGTATAATGGGATTCCTGCGCTCTCAGGTGGCCCCGAGTGGGAACCGGGATGCTGCAAACGTGATCACTAGGGTGAAAGGACGTGTTCCTCTTTTAAAAGTTCACTTAAATACCCTGTGGGAGTGGTCCTGACTCAACCCCAAGGAGGTGTCAAGACCTGGCATGATGGAATTTGGAATCCAGACCAATAAAACTCTCAGGCCTGGGGGCTAGGATGGATTCAAGGGGCTGGGGTCTACACTCCCAACTTAACATTCCAGACTTTTTGGATATAGGAATGACAGGGAATTTAAGTGATAATTTTGGCCAACAATGTATGCTCTCTAAAAAAAGGGGGGGCATTGACTCAAGTCTGGCTACTTCCTTTAGGTATAGGGTGATGGGGAAAGGAAAGATCTAGGTGTTGGTGGGTCCATACTCAGTGAGAGGTGTACCTGGAAAGGCATCCCATGTACTGTCATCCCAGAGACATCAGGCATCTGTTCCTTGAGGGAGGCGAGAAGGCAGGTGTCATGTGAGGTCCTGTCCATCGAGGTTTGAGAGACCTAGGAGTTAACTGTTTGAGGAGTATTCTGTTCCCTGAGGAGAGAGGGACAGGTTTATGGGCATTAGGGTCCACTGATGTGGTGGCAGGGAGACAAGGGTCAGCATGTGGACAGAGAAGGGGCCTTAAAAAGGAAAGGTAAGGTAGGTACCCAATGAGTGGAGGAGTTTGGACTGGGAGGTGATAGTTAAGGGGAAAGGTCCTCCCATAAAGCAGCTCAAAATGGCTCAGGCCCATAGAGGGATGTGGGGTGGCATAAGGAGAGTAAGGGCAATGGGGAGAAGGAAGGTCAAGGAAACCTGAGTTCAATGGAGAGCTTGGTTAGCTGTTGTTTGATGGGCCCATTGACTCTCTTCACCTTTCCCAAGGATTATGGATGGTAGGGGTTGTGGAATTTGCAGGAAAAGTTGAGAGCTTCTGAGACAAGTTCCATGACCCTGGAAGTGAAGGCTGGCCCATTGTCTGTCTGGATGGTTCATGAGACACCAAAGTGAGGAATGATGTGGTCTAGGAGTACCTGAGTCACTACATCCGCTATTTCCCTGGAGGCTGAAAATGCTTCTATCCATCCTATAAAAGTGTTCACAAATGTTAAGAGAGAAGGGTTATTTTCTTTTTATGAGTAGGCATATGAGTGAAATCAAACTGCCTAAGTCTTCTGGTTACTGTCTGTGAAGCTGGTGTAGAGACTGACTTATGTGGAAAGCCTTTTGTGGGATGGCCTGGGAATACGTCTGACAAGAAGACTGAACCTGTAAAATATGAACTCGGAGATGGGTGGGGTAAAAAAATGCTCCAAGAAGCAGAGCAAAGATTTGGGGAAGCGGCTAAGGATATCCCAACCCATAAAAGGTACTAAGCAAGCAGGAATCACTAAGAAAAAATGAAAGAAAAATTGTCCTGCAAGAATGCAAGGCAGTTGCACAGTTTTAAGTGGGGAGGAACAGGTCCCATCAAACCCCATCACTGAAATTGGTGAGGGCAATGTAAGACCTGAGTGAGATGTTAAAACAGAAAATGGGTACAAAATAAAAGTAATGGATTACCTGCTACCTGCAGCTTTACCCTAGGCTTGGATAGGGTTATAGGATGTACCAATAAGGCTGAGAAGTTCGAATGCTGGCACAATTTCACTTGCCGATGTTGTTGAGGCTAGACCTCTGTGGCAAGGCATAGAGGACAAGCCCACATGGGGGGGGCATTGTGATTTCCAGTGTCCAGGTTGCTGGCAGATAGGATATAACCTTGAAGAAGGCACAGTGCAATATCATGCCATGTGACCATTTAGGCAACACTTGAAACAGCTTTGCCTGTGAGGTTGATTAGGCTGGGCTCTATCAATGTAGAGCCTTGTGGTTGGCTTCCCTTGTCCCCCTTCCTGCAACCTTAGGGCAGTTGCTAAGGTGTGGTCCTGTAGATTAGCTGCCTGTTGTAGCCATGTAAAGGCCATTTTTACCAATTTCTGTACAGGAGTTTGGGGACCCTCCTCAAACTTTCTTAACTTTAAGCAGAAGATTTAGCAGAAAAGGAACCTAATTGCTTTTTTATCTGAGAAAGATCTGGAAGAGCAAAGGGAACATGAACTTTCATAATGCTATTGGCTCCTGCTACCTCCTAGAGAGGAAAGAGAAGGGTGCAGCTATGGTAGGATCTGGTGTGGGAGGAGACTGGGGAGGGGATTGGAAGGGGCTAGCCCAGTGAGCCCAGGGGTCAGGGTGTGGAGGTGAGGTAGGAGGGGGGGAGGGAAGGTGGGTAAGGCAGAAGTTGACCTTGAACCTCCAGATTGGAAAGGGAGGGAGTAGGTGGGGAAAGGAGAGGAATGTGGAGAATGTTGCTCCACTGGAGGGGGTTGGATAGTGTGGGTTGGAGGGAGTAGGGGAGGGGCCAGTTCCTCTGGCTGTAAATTCCAGCTGGAATTGTCAGGGTCCCACTTCCCAGATCACAAGGAATTTGGAGGCATTGTGAACTTAGCGACCAAGATTGGTACTGAGAGACAATGGCTACTAAGGGAAGGGCAGGAGTGCAGAGTCAAAAAACATGGCTATTTGTAAGCTCTGTCCATTCGTCCTTACAGTGACAAAAATTTTCTAGGTCCAGGAGGGTGGTAACCTCAGGGCTTCCTTTTGGTAGTACAAAGGGAAATTAGCTATTTGGGAGAGATGGTATCAGACAGTCTCAATTTATAAAAATTTTGTAAGAGGCATCCCAGGGGCAACAGTGTATCTGGCTTTGAATTGCAAGTGCCCCTTTTAAAGTCTATGCCCAGTCAAGTGGCCTAAGTCTATTATAGCATGTCCACTGAAATAGCTCTTAGGCCTAATGGGGCCATGGAAAATGAATGCTAGGCATCCCTGCAGCAAACAAATTCCACCTAAGCTAGGCCTGGTCTTGCTGGTCTAGCCACTGCTGAGATAAAACGCTTGGCATGAGCTTGTGGATTAAACAAGATTCTGATAACTGACAAAAATAAGCATTAATAAGTCCCCCCAAACCCTATAGCATAGACAAGAAAAAAGGAACTAGACATAGCTGCTGTAGCCCAGAAGCTGGTTTCAGCATGGCATGGAGATGTCAGATTGTAGACTAGGGGGCTGCCCTATCTTGGTGGGACCTCCAGATATTAAGAACTTTTCCTAATGTGAGCACTCTGCTGATGCAAAAATTCCAATCAAGACAAATTACAACAAGCCAAATTCAAAAATATCCAAGTTTAGTGGGATTCCTGCACTCTTGGGTGCCCCCACAGGGGGGCACCATGTATTTCTCTTTTGGGAGCTCACTTAAATACCTTGTGGGAATGGTCCTGACCCCCTAGGGAGGGGTCAGGACCTGATATGCTGGGATTTGGAGTCCAGACCAATACAACTCTCAGGCCTGAGGGCTGGGATGGATGTGAGGGGCTGGGGTCTAAGCTCCCAACTTAACACTGAGTAAGAAAAAATATGTAGAAAACAATGGATTCTGATATGAGCCTGATGTGAATAATGCTCAGGGTGAAAGAGAATTTAGACCTGCTAGGATCATAGGACACTGTACCTGACCACATCTCTCTCTTGATGAACTCTGAATCTAAACCGTAATCACAAAATTCCATTTAGGACATGTCATGAGTCTCAAAATGGGAAAGACTACGCAGGTTTCATGAGATTTTTTGCATATCTCATGCTAGTTTCCAGATAGTCATTTCTGCTCTTACTTGTTCTCATAAGTCCTATCACATTATTAAAAATTTCCATTTACAGTGGGTTTTTTTGTATTAATACAGGTTCCTATCACATGAAATGTGGATATAATCCATAGGAAATCAGCATATATAGAGACATCCAAGAGAAGCAAGTGAGTTACATAATTCCTGTTGTCAGACTGACCTCCATGTATACTGAGAGCTACCTACTGGTGGTGAGCATCCTTCAGGGAAGTTTGTGTCTGAACACTATGATGTCTCACTCTCACTATGCACTCTTACTGCTCCTAGACTCACACTCAGACCCACAGGGGTCCTGGCTTAGGTCTACTCCCTTGAAGGTCATTTGGCCAAAAGAGATGAAGTAAGATCTGGACCTGAGGCTTGTAGTCCTCAGGGAGAGAAAGCCATGTTTGAGCATTGGTAGGAATTATGGTCCAGAGCCTGAAACCCACCTTCCTCTTGATTTTCCATTAAATGTAAGTTCTACTCTAATCTTGAAATCTGAACAAGGGCCTGTTTGAATCTAAGAAAAAACATACTAGAATACCCATTAAACTTATCATGTGATTTCAGGGATGAAGCTGAAGCTGGAGATATTTTTACCATGCTCTTATTTTGCATTCTGTTCATGAGAGAATCTGCCCTATATTTGTAAATAACTGCAGAAACTTATGAAATGTTTAAGAACATTATTAGCCTACAGAACAAATATTTCGAGACTTTCTGGGAACTAGAAGATTAAAGACAGCGTAGATTCCTGAGAAGAGTTCAATTATGCTTGTATAATCTGTTGGGATGGATGTGTTCTCTGTGTGCTGTTTGCCCCCTTGTGGTCATGAGCAGCCTCACAGTGAAGTTTATGTCTGGATTCACACTGAAGTTCCCTCATTGTGTGTCTAGCACAATAATAAGTGGCTGTTTCCTCAGATCGCACACTGTTCATTTGCAGGTACAGAGTGTTCTTGGCATTGTCTCTGGTGATGGTGAATCGATCCTTCATGGATGGTGCATGGTTTGTCGTACTGCCATGAGGATTAATTTCTCCAACCCATTGCAAGGCCTTTTCAGGAGTCTGTCTGAACCAGCTCATCCAGTAGTCACTAAAAGTGAAACCAGAGGCTGCACAGGAGAGTCTAAATGACCCACCAGGCTGCACCAGTCCACCTCCAGTCTCCACAAGCTTCACCTCACACTGGACACCTGAAAACACAAAAAAATCCTGATCAAGAATGCATCACACATGCTTACTGTCCCTCATATTCATCTCAAATCACACATTTATTTATCATCTATTATTCTCCAAAAATTACCCTTTAGTAGAACAAGAAGGAATATCCATCTCAGACCCAAATCCATTTTGAGCACTGACTGAAGTCTTGAAAACCACAGCTGAGCTCCTTTTCCTGAGTTGCAAGGCCAGTGCTTGGCTGCTTTTCATGAGCTGGAAGAGGCTTATTTGCATATCTTCATGCTATATAGGAAGTTCTCTAGTGGGAACTTAGAGACTGCAGGTCCTGTGCTATGTGTAAATATGGTGGAAGAGTCAGTTTATAATATTCATGTTAGGGAAATTTTAGGGTTTGAAAAACTGGCATTAAGTTACATCATTTGTCCAGATGTCACCTTCCTTATTACTACTTGCAATTAGAAGACATATTTTGTTGTTCATTTAAACTCAATATCCCATGTCCTGGATCATAAGAATTAGTGACATTGCTTTCTAATGCTAATTTCAGTAAGAGTTAACTGTACTGTGTGTACTGTGTATATTGTGTGTCACAAACCTCCCTGAGTCTTCTCCAGCTATAAATGTAGCTGCTTCATCATACTGACTACTCCCATTCTGTTTTGAGATGATGAGATATGCCTGAATTCCAGTTTTCAGCTAAGCCCCTAAAGAGATCTTTTTCTAATAGGTGTATACCTAAGACTCTGTAGATTTCTTGTGTTATTATCTAATGTAATACTTCTTTCCCTGCATATTTACCTATTTGTTCACTAGAAACATGGAGAGACTGATGAGCTGTGCTTTACTATACATCTCAGCATTTGACTTCTACATGTCCTCCTTGTTTGACATCAAAGGACTCACATAAGTATGCCCATACTTCAAACACTCCTCCCTTTGACTTTGTTTTCTACACAGTTTAATACTCTGCCTTGGGAAGCAATTTGCCCTTATTTTACTTGGAGTCTTTAAGTCAGGTTTTTCTTTCATAGTGGCTATAGAATTTACATGCAGGATGCATACCATTTTAGCTTCTCAGTCAACAGATTTAATTTTGATGTATGATACCAGATTGACTTGTGTCCAGCCTTCACTGTTTGAGTAGTGCCTGAAATGCTGACAGAAAAGACAATAGTAAATTTTGTTTCATATTTGAATGTACACCAGTTTCTAGCATTGTAGATGAGCAAGTTGAGCTTTGGAATGTCATCAGAAAACATTTTAGTGAGTTTTGCAATATGAGCAAAACAGACTAGACTGCAAGTCATAGGTTTCTCCACAGAAGAGAAATTGATGAATAAAAATGTTATTGGTAAGACTTCACATAGAAAGATCAGGCACTTAGTTACCCTGTAGAAACTGTGAGCCTGGAAGAAGCAAAGTCTCTCAAAGTCAAACTCAAATAGAAAGCCATCCATACAAGGCAGGACTGATTACTATGAGTCCTATGTCACCTCTGATGACAACCAGAAAACTCAACATTGTTCATCATACAATTCACACAAAAATAAAGGAGAGATATGGGGTTGCAAAGATAACACTGGAGTTCAAAATTCCTATAATTTAAACCTGAAATATAAATGAGAAAAACAGGAGCACAGAAATATTTAAGCAAATAAAACCGAATAAGGAATGAAATGTAAGATAATTACCTGATTTCTAACTCAAGAGCTTAAAAGAAACACAGGAGATCATAAAAGAATATATAGACACACATACACACACAAAGACAAGTGAACAAAATATTGAAAAGGTAACTACTGTGTAATAGAGTAACTTAACCACATCATATACTTTATAACATATAAAAGTGAATAAAATAAATGAGAAAGAAAGACTCTTACTTTTGCAATTACACACTATGTTGTAAAGAGTGATAATAGTTAAGTAGAATCAGAGGTCTAAATATTGACTTTGTAGACATCATCAGTCAGTTGTGTATGTTTAGTATCATTTAAATTGATAAATAGGTAATTGGTAATTAAATGAGATGAATTATAGCAATCAAAATTTGAGGTAAACTAGAGTAGTCTGAGAAATAGTAATCACAATTGAGTAATACCTCTATCAGACGAAATTTTAGTAACGGTTATGGACCATTTTTTCATTTAAAAGGTATAGTAAGTGGGAGAATCCCAATGTGGTTTTGGGCTGCATGAGAGAGCAGCTGTGTGGGGCATGGCAATCAAGCCAGAATGTAGCATTAGTGCCTGGTCTCTTCATCATTTCTGGTCTTCAGGTTCCTGTCTTTAGTTCCCAACTCATCTGTCTTCAGTGATGTATCATCTGTGATTGGGACATGTAAGCTAAATGAACCTAAGTCTCTTTGGGTTGTGATCTTTATCACAGAAATAGAAACCCAACTTGTAAAAGTGTGATTTCAGTCAGAATACTAACTATATTCTTAAAAAAATGATGATGAGAATTAATCTGAAAATCCATTGAATTAGAAAAATACTTAAGTGAGAAAAAGGAGTCTTGAACATCCATGGCACAGCCTGGGTTCTTACCATCCACCTGGCCTTCCTGAAACATCCACAGGCCCTTCGATGCCATGTGACTAAGGTAGGCAAAACAAATCCATGGGATAGCCTACATTCACACTCGGGCCTGACTGATGCATTTACTTGCCCACCAGCAACTCATAGCACTTTTTCATGTGCTAATATGATGAGCAATACATTATAGTGAAATTGGAGAGAAAGCAAGACAGAATGGTTCCTTGATGTGGTATGAGATAGTTATTATGAAGTAAATCCTGTAAGCAATAGGCTGATATTGGTTTTCTTCTTGCCACCCATGACCAGTGTAATACCTGAAACTGTGCTGTTCTCTACCACCATATCTTGACTTAGACAGGTTCTATATTGATATCCATGACCCATGTTTCTATGAAGGTCACATAGATGCCAGGATTGTGGGATGCCAGCCATGGCCAGTTTTGGGTCCAAGGGCTATGCTAAAGCAAGAGTCATGTGATCTGTGTGGCCTGTATTACCACCAGGATGGCATGATAACATCTATACATGTACTTTTGTGGGGGCAATGTCTGGATTCATGGACCTGTAGCTGCTAGGACCTGTGTTGATATCCATGGTTTCAATTACCAATGAAGGCTGACTAGGATCTGGTAAAAACACCTGAGTTCATGTTAGTCTCTGAGTGCTATACTTTTGCTAGGGCTATGCTGAACTGGATGGCTTGTGCTGCCTCACAGGGCCATGGTAAAATCCAAGCTTGTCTGAAGTATAAGGCCATTTTCAGGACTATGGTCCTACCACAACCAGAGTCTAGGTTGATATCCATGTTTCCCAGTACCAAAAAACAAATAGCATGCAATTACAGAGTTCTGGGCCCTCACCTGCAGTCTGTTTGGGATCTGAGGGTCACATTGTTAAAGTAACATTCAAACCCAGACCACATTGGTGCTCAAGAGCCTTGCTATCACCAAAGCCATTCCTATCTGCGTGCCCTCTGCTGCCATATAAAGCCATATTGACTTCCAAGCCTGAACTGCTGCTGGGGACCATTTCTGAGTCAATGGTCCTACCACATTTGGTGGTTGTGATGTCCATGGCCTGTGGTGCCACCAAAGACCACACAGACAATCAGAATAAATTCCTGTGGCTATAGTGGTGTCTGAGGGCCATGCTGCCATTGGGGCCATGATGTCATCTGGGCAAGGGCTGCCGCTGGGGGCCATGTCTGGATTCATGTCCTTTTCATAACCAAGGTCTGTGTAGATGCCATGACACTTTGTACCATTCAAGGCAATGCAGATTTCAGAGGTCTGGCTAGTACCTTGGACCTTGTTGGGATTCAAGAAGCTTTGCAAAGGGGCCATACAAATCATAGTGGCCTTCCCAACTACACAGGGCCAGACCTGGGCTACTACCTTTGGGCATTTCTAGATCTGTGACCCAACAATATCCAGGGTTTGGACAAATTTCTATGACTACTTTTACCACAGTGAGGCATATCAACCAAGAACATTAAAATAGAGGGTTGTGCTGAGCCAGTCCTCTCCCTCACTAATCTCTGTCTTGTTATCTCGGTCCATCACTGAATACTGTAGTAGAACATCTGGCACTGCACTCCATGAGAGAATTGACTCCTGTGCCAAGACATGCTGGTTACAAGTTCCCATAGGGATATAGAAGAGTGACAACTTAGTGTTTAAAAAGCTAACTCCCTAGGTATATAATTCCAGACTGGGATGGCCTACTTGGCAAAGCTGTAAGATTAGTGACTCTAAAGACGGGTTGTTTCTTTCTGTAACTTTATTAAGTTGCACTACTATACTTTCTTAATATGAACAAATGTAGGGTTCTTTCCATAATTCTTTAGTGGTTTGGTTTACACTTACTAGTCACATTTATAGCTGTGAATTGACAGAAAGATAATTTCTGCTTAAATGAATAGAAATATTACTAAGATATTTTACATTACTCAGACTGACATTCTCAGCCTCAAAGCCAGGATTTTATAAAGACAGCTGATTTTAGACTCCAGAACAAATTCAAAGAAGACTGATTGCCATTAGAGACAAATATCTGGTTGTCCCTAGAGACATATACATGAAATCATTTTTCCAAGTGCTTTGCTGATACAAGGAAATGCATGAGAAAGCTTCAGTGATAGTTTCTCACTTGAAAAAAAGCCTTGCTTATCCATTCTTCAGTCAAGGGGCATTTAGGTTGTTTCTAGGTTCTGGCTATCACAAAAAATTCTGCTATGAACCTAGTTGAGCACATGTCCCTGTGGCACGATTGAGCATCCTATGGGTATATACCCAAAAGTTGTATTACTGGGTTTTGAGGAAGATAATTTCCTAATTTTCTGAGAAATCACCACACTGACATCCATCCAAAGAGGCTGTACCTGCTTGCTTTCCCACCAGCAATGCAGAAGAGTTCCCTTTCCCCCACAACCTGTCCAGCATAAATTTTCATCAGTGTTTTTAATCTTGGCCATTCTTATAGGTGTAAGATAGAATCTTAGAGTTGTTTTGATTTGCATTTCTCTGATAACTAAGGATGTTGAACATTTCCTTAAGTGTCTTTCAGCCATTTTAGATTTCTTGTTGAGAGTTCTCTGTTTACGTCTGTACTCCATTTTTTATTTATTT